AATCAGAGCAGACTGCGCTTGTCGGAAGGAGGGACTTTGTAGAAAACGAAGCGTTTGAGAGAGGCGGGGCATAGAGGACCTACAATAATGTACAGTATTTGAAAAATAATGTGTTTTTTGAACATTAAGGCATGTCAACATATTCTGTTACACCAAATACACAAAATAATGATCTTTAAAAAAGCATCATATGACCCCTTTAATAACTGCGGCCTGAAAACACAACAGCAGATTCCCAGAAATACAGAACGCAGAGGATGTGAGAGGAATTCAGGGCAGGAGAGCAACGAAATGGAAAAAGTTACAGGATTCAGATCGCGTTACACGTGCATGTTTTATTTAGGCAGAAACAAGAGCGAGCGAGGCGTTCATTCGTTTTGTTTTTATTCTGAATGCAGCTTTTTTTGGCCCAGTGTCATCCCTTTTCCTTCCTTTTCTCCTCTATCCTTCCATTCTTCCTTCCTTCCCTCAATTTCATTCAGTTTCATCTGACGATTCTTACTCACACACACTTGTACAGTTGAACTGGAACATGGTGTACAATAACAGGCTTGATTCAATTTATTCAGGAACATATGTTTTTTCTCTCTTTACTTCATGTATTGCTCATTCTCTCTCTCTCTCTCTCTCTCTCTCTCTCTCTCTGACTTTCTCATGGATTGTTTATACTTGATAATTTTTGTTTATTGAAAGTGTTATTTTTAGTATATCCACAAAAAAAAACCCTCTCAGATGTGTAGTTGTTTGTAGTCTAACAGAAAAACACATGAAAAGCATGACATTTACAGGCCTGATCCAAATTAAATCCATATGTCCCTAGTCCAATTTTAGAAATGCGTTTCAGTCAGATTCTATTTCAAGTAGTCAAATGACACGTGATTGTAACAGCATACAGAGCGCAGTCATGTCTACAGGTGTCTGAATTCACTCATTTACACTCGTGGCAAAATGGCTGCTACAGCCAAACAGATGCAATTATGTTCAATAAATAATCTAATTATTATTTTTTAGTATGTAAAAAAATATTTTATTATTTCTTTATTTTATTTATTTAATCAATTATTGAAAATTAGTGTATAATAAATACAACTTCATTATTATAATAAAAAAAAAAGGTTCGGTACAATAATATAGAATTCAAAATGTGCAGTCACAAGTCTGTGTATATTGCCCTTTTTCAAGTGGCTTAATCAGAATTTAGAGCCAAAACTATTCATTATATTATTTAAGGAATAGTTCACCCCAAAATTAAAATTCTGTCATCACCCAGTTTTCGGTAGCCACTGACTTCCATACTATGAAAAAATACCACGTAAGACAATGGCTACCAGCAACTGTTTGGTTACCCATATTCTTCTGTGTTCAGCAGAAGAATGAAACTCGTACAGATTTGGAACAAGGGTGAAAAAATGATTTTCGGGTGAACAATATAACTTTAAGCTTTCACTCTCATTAACACAAAGTACTCTAGAATGAAAATGAAATTAAATGGCCCAAAAAACTAGCCTTGAGCCATCATCATTGCATCCTTGAGTGGGGTGATTAAGGTGTCTGGGGGAAAGTCCCTGTTCAATGGCGCCGTTGTGTGAATGTCTAGTCAGTGCACTTAAACCATGAGAATATAGTAGGAAAGCCGGATGTACATATGGATGTTTATAAGGAGTTGATGATTTGCCTGCACCTGATTGGTTTTCACCGTTTACTTTATGGAAGCAGTTTGTGCCTATTTATAATTTATATTGCAGTATGAGGAGGACATCATTGTTTTCATTTTGTCAGACATAGTCTGTCCCTAGAGATTGTGTAAACAGATGCAGTATTGCGGGGACAGTTAATCAGGACACTTGTTTCATCCACCCATGACACACACACACACACACACACACACATTGTGGGAGATTCTAGACCCGTCCCGATGAAACATGCTCCTCTGTGGCGTCACATACATCCACTTCTCTTTCTTCCCGATTGCTCTGCGGTTCTTAAAATACCATCAATTCCCATTGAAGTCCATGTCTAATAACTCTGACACTCGTTGGCCCCCTCCGTACTGTCACACTCCCCCTCCCCGTCTTTCCTCTGCGGCTCTGGGTTTGCATAACAGGTAGTTACAGACACTTCCTCGTCCTGAGAAGGGATATCCTGGCGCCTGACTGTCGCTCTCTGAAGCTGCGTGGCTGCCGCTGGTGCTCTGGACCCCCGTTAGCTAAATATAACTATTGTCACACTTAAAACGACGCACACATCGTGCACTATTAGCTGGACTGATATACTTCACTTGTAACAGACCACCATAGTAGTGCAAGCACAGCCATGGACGGCTTTGATGAAACTGAAAATAACTTTTTCTAAAACAAACAAGACTATCTAGAGCTCATAATTGTACACAGGAAACGATCAGGGTGTCTATTAAAAAATGACCTGAGGTTAAGAAAACAACTGCTGTGATCAAAGTGAATGAATAAAATTTGAGTGGACACTATGACACTGGAGTGTTCTGGGTGGTTGCTAAGTGGTTGCTAGGACAGCACAATTAATTGAAATAAAGCTGAAATCACAATATTGTTTATTCTGATTATCAAAAGCTTGAAGGTTTGACATTTGAAAATGAATAAATTAAGACATAAATAGTGCTGTAAAATAAAATTATTATATTTTTCTTAAATACTGGATTTTAATTTACAGTGAAATATTACAAAAGTAATATTTTTAATGTTGTAATATTTTATATAGTATTAATAATAATAATAATTTGTGATATATAATCACAAAATATTTGGCCAAATTGTGCAGCCCTACAAACAAGCACAGCAAACTTAAAAAGTTTTTAAAAACTGCATTTGAAATCACAGTCACAATTAATTGCAAATAGATTATTCCCCAAATTGTGCAGCGCCACGTCTAAAACAATTCGTACAAGTACAACACGACGTAGCTGTACGCCGTGGACAGACGCCGAACGGCGCCGCTGGTGTGTGTACACTCATAGAAAATAATGTGTTTGAATTTTAAAGACGTGGCGTGGTGCGATGCGACGCGATGCTGCGCTGCGCTGCGCTTCTCGTCCGGTGTGTGACTGCTTTAAGGTGGAGGTCACTAGGTGGTTGCTAGGGTGTTCAGGGTGGTTTCTAGGACGTTGCTAGGGTGTTCTTGATGGTTGTTAGAATGTTCTGGGCAGTTGCTTGGTGGTTGGTAAGGTGTTAGGTCGTTGCTAGGGTGTTCTGGGTGTTTGATGTAGTATTCTAAGTGGATGTAAGGGCATTGTTAGGTGGTTGCTAGGGTGTTGTAGGTAGTTGCCAGGATGTTGTTAGGGTGTTCTTGGTGGTTGTTAGAATGTTCTAGGCAATTGCTAGGTGGTTGGTATGGTGTTTTAGGTCGTTGCTAGGGTGTTCTGGGTGGTTGTTCAGTTGTTTGCTAGGGTGTTCTGAGTGGTGGCTAGGACTTTACCTGGGTGTTCTGGAATGTTGCTAGGGTGTTGCTAGGATGTTCTGGGTGTTTCTATAATAACTGCCACCATCAATTTGCAGATTATTACCTACAACACTCATAACACTCACATCAACTGTCCATTCGCTAATAGTCCATCAACGAGCATGTGTTTATGTAAGTATGCAAGTTAGCATTTAAACAGCTATGCAGATAGTATAAGCACGCACAATAAAACAAGATAACATCACAGCCAGCACACTTTCATGGGACATCAACAGCGAGTTTTGGAGAGACAGGCCTGCATACGTCCCAATGGGAGCGGATTTAATTTGTGAGCGGGCCTCTGGCCAGGACTCTGTTATTTCCTGTTGAATGGTGTGTAGCTTCAGGCCGCTGTGCTTTGTTGATGTTTGTTCTGTTATAGATCCTCAAAGCTCCATCTTTCCTTTCCCAAAATGCCGAACAAGCATGGGACAATAGAGGCCGTATCTCTGATGACAGACGGCTTGATATTGAAGAATTAATGTGTTGTTTGAAGATAGGTGTGTGGTATTTGTGTCAGGCTTATTGAAGCTCCTCAAAGGAACTGTTAGTGTTTGTTAGCGACTGTAGAAGCGGGTTTGAACACTCACTGGCTAACTGGAACAGGGCAGCGATGGCTTCCTCCCACCACTGAGAATCCTGGGTAATGTGGCTTATCTCCAGTAACCCAAACAGGAAGATTAGCTGACCCACGGTCAGAGCCACCGTAGCCATCAGGTTACATGCCCGCATCATGTCAAACTGAACTGCAATCAGAACAACAGAAATATTAGCTCTCAAATGGTTCGTAAATGATTCAATGATTAATTTGATTCACATATACATGTATGAGCAGAGGAGTGTGTGTGTGTGTGTGTGTGTGTGTGTGTGTGTGTGTGTGTGTGTGTGAGTGTTTTTAGGTAGAGGATCGGAATCATTGTAAGGAAGATCCAGCTGCAGATGTCCATAAGACACAACTGTGCCAATGTGGGTGTCACTTCCTGAAAGACAATCCTTCACTGTGTCCATCCGTTTCCTATTTCTAAATCAGGATAGATGGACAGACGTGCCAGGCTGCATGATACAAGCCAGCAAATCTCTGCTCGCTTTTTCTTCCAGTGATAGTTGCCATGGTTTAATACTAGCCAGACATTAAGTTGATGCCAAATTAAATAAAATGAGCTCTAGATGTCTAGAACTCAGATTTAAAGAAAAAAAAATTATATAAGATTTTAAGACCAATTCATATGGAAGCGGTTCATTAAAAGTTGTTAAAAATGTGGACACTTTTTTTTTTCTTTTTTCTTTTTCTGAGTAATCACAGGCTCCTGCAGTGAATTTTTTTATTTATTATAATTATAATTAGATTATAATAAATAATAATTTTTTTTTTAATACATATTAAATGTATTTAATTAGATTTTTATTAGTACATTTATTTAGTTATAAACAATTTATTTATTTAGGTATTATTATTTATTTATTTAATTCTAAATTTATTATGGGGGGGGTTAACGCTTTAAAAACATTTTCTGTATGTTGTTTTATTGAAAGTAACCTTATATGAAACATTATATCAGGAAATCCTTTGTTGATGTACACTGAAATATGAAATATATATTTACAATACATAATTATAAAAATATATTAATCAGAGTTAAATGACATTTCAAGTATTCCAGTGTACTCTCAGTGTAAATTATCTACTAAACTTTATCTACTTGTTATTTTTCAGTCTACTAGTCACATTTTCAGAGTTTTTTAACTTCATAAAATGAACAATAAGACGGCCTTAGATATTATGCTTACAAAATCACGCTTAGCATTGAAATTATAAATATATATAAATAAAATATATGAATTGATGTTTAGCAACATTTATTTTTGAATGAATTACCTAATGATCCGTTTAAAATGACAATATATTAATATAATAATATTAAAATGTTATCTTTTTCTGTTAAATTCAGTAATATAAAGGGTATCAGAGCATTAAAACATGTAGAAAACATATAATTTAATTATTGTCTATTCCCTCACACGCAGTTGTATGACGGAGACTCACGTTTGACAGTGCTGCGTGACTCCTGATACCCCGCGAGCTCTGATCCCCAGCTGAGTCTCTGGCAGGCTGTGGGCTCGTGAGTGTGCGTGTCCTCGTGTGCACACGCTCTCCAGAGTCCGACACTCCGCCGCCGTCCGTCCTCCAGCACCTGCAGCACCCAGCTGGAGTTGAATGTCGCCAAGTTGTTGAGCACCAGAGAAAGCAGGGCCACCGCCGCCGCCACCACCACCAGCCTGCGCACGGCCATACACCCTCCGGAGCGCCCGAATTCCTGAAACATCCACGGGTACAGGTGCACGCTACGCAGAAATGCAGAGCGGCATGAACGCTGTAAGAGGTTAGCTAGAGGACATCGCCATTCATTCTTGTGTCTTGGGGGTCGTTGGGGCGGCGGGAGTCTCTAAACCTCTTCCTCGGAGTCGGGGGTCACTGCTTCTCGTAAGGCTGGACGGTGGACCTCCAAGGCCATCACATAAACACGCACGCTTTCTTTAAATCGCTCCGTTCTTATGCAGCTCTGCCCGTCCCTTCCTCCCCCTTTCTCCTCCAGATGTGCGCTGTGTCGTCTCCCTGCTGTGGAATGTCTGCGTGATGCGGTCTCTTGTGTTTCTTGTTCTTTCCCACACTCTTTCCTCGCTCGTTTATCTCAGATTACTCATCCTAACCAGTTTCCTATGTTCACGTGTGAGCATGTGTGTGCTTTATCCCTGAAAAGCTCAGAAGGACTGGGATAAGAGGGCAGGAGTGCTTGGGAATAAGTTCTCTCTCTTTCTCTCTTGGTCGGTGACAAACACGTTACTCCAGCTACAGGATGTGTTTCCTGGAAGGAAAGCAGGCAGAACAGAATGCAACACCCGTCCTCTTTCTCTCTTTGACTTAGTGAGCTGGTTATTAATGGAGCAGGAGATGAAATATCAGATATATGTTTGGTCTAGTAACACTTAAAGGGTTAGTTCACCCAAAAATGAAAATTAGGCTGCGTTTTACTCACCCCCGAGCCATCCTAGGTGTATATGACTTTCTTCTTTCAGACGAATCCAGTCGGAGTTATATTAAAAACGGTCTTTGATCTTTCAAGCTGTTTAATGCCAC